TGTGGTACCTCTTGCTCGGGGTGAGGCATTCCCCAGTGTTTTTGTGTGGGGAAGGCTTAGAATCGTGTTAGGTTTTTGTTGCTAGAATGAAGGAGAGGGTGTGGCACTGGATTATGTATTTTATTTGATAATCCTGGTTAAGTGTCCTTCAGTGTATATTGCATAGTCTCCCCTGGGCAGCTCTCCAAGTAGACCCGGGGTTTGGCTAGTAACAGCAGTCATGTACAGTGCAGATATCATTTTATTCGGAGTCCTAAATTGTAAATAGAGCCAACATGTTTTAGGTTCACAAAGTGTCCCCTAGATCAGGGCTTGGTATTGCTGTAAAAGATATATAGTGGACCTGTGGAATAAGAAAACTTCCTAAAGATTATTAAGACACTGTACCAAAAATATCACTCCAGGCTCTGGTTAACAGCCCCTTTAAGCCCCCAAAACTTGTTGCCTTTGAATAATTCAAGACTATAAATTGCGTAGGAAAAAGGCAGATGATCATTGCTGATCACCGTATCACCCATTTTGTAACAGCATCAGCCATTTTAGATCCAATGTCCATTCTGTGTCTTCTAGAAAAGCAAGGCTTGTTATTTTGTACAAACATGTGTAACCAGTTGCCATCAACTAAGGTGTTAAAGTTTGATTGTAATCTTGCTTTGCATTAACCTATATGGTTACATATAGGGGAAGTGTTGGTCATTTTGCTTGTAAGATAACCCCCTCACATGTGTGTCAATAAACCTTATCTGATTTCAACCTACTCACAGATGATGCTGAAATCATTTTCATGTTGATACCTAAACAAAATGATATTATACCTGGACTTTACATAACTGGTGTCTGGCACTTTTCTTCTTGCATACCTAGATTTCTATTGCTATCTGTGTCCCCATTGTGGAGATTTCCCTTGATTTCCTGTGCTGGTGATATAGAAAATTGAGGGACAGGAAATGATTGTCAATGGAGACAGATACAGCAACAAAAACACTTTTATTAATTGGGTGGGGAGAGGTAAGAACCGTTGTGAGGTTTGCTGTGTGTACCTTTATCAGTGACACCTATTATAATTTCTTGTCCTGGTGTCATAGGGATAAAAAGTGAGGGCAGATCTGCCCAGCAGCATCACAGACAGCCATAATAATTTGTCAGAGCTTCTAATCCTTCTTCATTCTATCCAAAACTGAACAAGAGGTTTTTATTTAGATATAAATCTTGTTCATGGTAATATGTTATCTATTTATATTGTATCAAGGAAAATAAAGCAACTGAGTTTTAAAGGATGCATACAATGTAAACATATGTAGTTTATTTATGTATCAACAGTAGTCCATATTTCTATACAGGAATGCAGTATAGAGCAATATACAATATAGTACTAGAAATAAAAAAAAAAATGGGTACAATAAGGTCTGTGTGCATTTATTATCTATAAACAATGAACTCAATGTTTAAACAAATGTTAACACAAAGCTACAGTATAGTTACAGTCTTGTTGTATTAATAAAGCTACAGTATAGTTACAGTCTTGATGTATTAATAAAAAAAGTCATAAAAATCCAGAAATACTTAAGTAACACTAAACTCAGAAGTTAAATCTTAAAAATACATTCAAGTACAAATTAGTAAACTAAACCTGAAATTTTAGCCCATCATTGGGGGGAGCTTGGAGCGGTGGCTACTTTACAACACACACAGGGACACAGGGACCCTCCAGAAGGAAGGACAGTGTCAGCACCAATTCAGAGATGATTTGAGGATCTACAGCCGAGTGATACACTAATAAGATACGTTTTTGTTAATAGTTAAGGTACTTGAATGCATTTTTAAGATTAAACTCCTGTGTTTAGTGTCACTTTAGTAAATATTGCTCAATTCAGTGCCAGTTATAAGACTAAAAGCCTAGGCAATTGGTCATGTGACCTTTGCTGAAGAGGAAGGTCAGCCAGTCCGAACTGTGATCCTTGCATTTAGCAGAGATCACCTAAGCTTTTGATTACATAGGTTGCACTAGAGGACAGATAAGTACTGTATTTCAGTTCTTCTGTTGCCCTTTATTTTATGTATGCAATACAGTAAAACTGTTTTAAAGTGTATTTCCACGTTTGCGACCCAATTTGGATAACACCTACTTTCTATTTCTTACATGTTCTCATTCATATCGCATAACTTAAAAATTATTTAAAAATTGCTGCTCACAATTTTAAGTGCTTTATTTTTGCCTGAAATCCTACCCAGACCCCCATGTAATGTTAAGGAGGGGGCAGAGGGAAGTTCCATTTCTAATTAACCCTGTCTGTACTGTGCTGGCATATTTTATTATCAGTTAAAAACTAGATTTGAACATTGTCCGTCCTAACAAAGGGTTAAAGACTTTGATGCATTGTATGTGAATGAGAGGAAGCTCAGTCTGTCCCTTAATTTGTCCTACTTTCACTTTCAAACTGCTCAGAGTAGCCTGGAATCTGCACAAAGGCCTTCACCAAAGAAATATCTAAACGTTAAGAAATATATTGTTAAGAATTACATTTTTGGATGGCATAACAAACATATTTTCTCAAATTTAACTGCAAAAGTGGAAATAAACTTTAAACTCAAAAAACCTGAAGAGAACACTTTAATATAGGCCAGTTTAAAAAATTTTTTTCCTGTTTAATTTTAAAACAGACCCCATGCTATAGACATCTCTGTGAAGTAACAGAAGGAACCCTATTGCCATGATTCCATTGTAAACAATATTGGAACACATACCCTGCTGTTTTATATCATTGCAGCAGTTTAAATGAACTCATACTTTGTATACACCAGTGGACACTTGTCAGCATTACCAAGTCACCTTATTATTTTAAGTACTTCTGACTTCCCTTGAATAAAAACTGCTGACCCAAAGCCCAGGTAGCCAATATTACATGGTGAGAATGGAACAAAACTATGTATAGTAGAATTACAGTAATATAAGAGAATCAGCAAAGCAGCAGAACATAAATAAGTAACCTGTAAACAAGACTGCCCTTTCAACATATGCCATTACAAACTATAGACAGAAATAGGGATTTTAATATATTAAAACACATTGATTAGATTATTTACATTAAAGCCCATTTAAGAAAGCTTTCCTTTTTATTGTTGTAATGCAGTGAGGCAGCATTATTAGTAAAAGCCATTTTACACCTGTGCGGTCTGATGCGATGTGGTAATGCACCTGCATTAATGCATGCTTTACTGTCACATATTTAGGTGCATTGCATTTAGACAGCCAATTCATTTGAGTTGGCTGCCAACGCACCACGCTGGACCTGAAATGGGATGTGCTACTGTGCATCGTGGTATGCTGCATGACTTGCACATCGTTTACTGTTGCAGTTAAAACAAATGTTTTCGCAAAAATAAGTTTCAATTAATTTTCATACACAGGTCTCAATGTAAACAAAGTAGGAACGCAGCAGGAGAAAAATAACATGCCCTGTTAGGTATTTGTTCATTGTTTCCTCTGAACAATATGTTTCCAGTAGTGATGTATAAAGCCGGCTACAAAAATTACAACCTGAATGTACAGTACACTGCATCACTTGCAACTTAGGAATCTAATAAAAATTGGAAACAAAGTACCTGTTATGCATGCTGGAGATGCTAATTCCAGGGGAGAGGGGTTGTGTGTGTTTATATATATTTCTCTCCTTGGCGGCCGGGAGCGGGAGACTCCCGGAGCGCTAGGGAGAGTTAGGCTGTTTGGAGATCAGTGTCCCTGGTTAGCTGTTAACCAGGGACGCTGATCTCTCTGCAAGTGGCCGGAGCCAGCCGTAAGATCAATGCTGGCTCCGTCCAGCTGTCACTCCACGTTCAGGAGCTGTAGGGCTATAGTGAATAGGGGCCGAAGCTAGCCGAAGGATCGGCCGAAGCTACGGCTAGATCCTTCGGCAGCTTCGTGAATAGGCCCCCTAGATTGTTCACTTCTCCTGCCTTCTCCAAACTCTTCACCCTGTTGAGAATAACCCTGTGAATGTTGCATGGTGTTGGTTCACCTGGTCTAGAAGTCCGCTCGGCCAGCTTCGGCTTTCAGCGCGGCTCAGCTGAGCCGAGGCATATGCGTTCGGCTCGACTAAGTCACTCGGCCATGTTCGGGAGCTGTACGGGCTATAGTGAATAGACCGTACAGCAGCCCTTCGGTTCTACTGAACCGAAGGGGTCCTGGGGCCGAAGCTAGCCGAAGGATCGGCCAAAGCTACGGCTAGATCCTTCGGCTGCTTCGTGAATAGACCCCAATGTTTCATCAACTGCTGGCATTCAGCCCATGATCTAGATTGGGGAAACATCCATCTGTGTATTCCCTTTCCATTAGTTTTAAAACTCAGTCTGATTCAATATTACTTTGCAGGCAAGCACTTAGTATTTTTAAATAGTTTTATTTCTGCTGGTTGTGCTGTATGGTAGGGCTGTGTGACTCTAAGGATTAGATGGAGAAAATGCTTTGACAGCAGCTTCCATATGTATGTTTCATTGATGTCTCTATCTGTTAGCCTGCAGCTCAGCTTTAAATAAAGGTCTGTATTGACCAGGTTTATATTTGACTGCCATTCTGCTTTAGCACATTCATTTGTGCATTTAAGCCATACATAAATAATAAATTGCTAGTGTTTAGTGGGCAAAATAAAGTGCTCTTGTGCTACACATTTGATTTTTGCCATTGATCTTACAACTGAAACGTCTGATAAAACACAATGAGGGGAATTTATCAAAACTGGAGCAGACAAAATCTGGAGCAGTTGTCTATAACAACCAATCAGCTTCTACTGTATCTTTTATTTTCAAAGCTTAACTGAACAAACTTAAAGAAAATCTGATAGGTTGCCATAGGCAACTGCTTCAGAGTCTGTCTGCTCCAATTTTCATAATTTCCCCCACTGAGTCTGACAAAAGCTGCATATTTTATGTGTAATTTAAATGTCTTTAAAGATTTCTGAAGTCAATGGTCTTTTGGAGGTAATTTGCATGGATAATATATCAAGTTAATGTTGAAACCTGTATGGTTGTTCAGAGATAAACGTTCCATTGATAAATGACAGTTGTGAATCTTCCACAGGGTACTGCAACCTATATTGGCTTCTGTCAAGCTCTAGCAGACTGTTTTCCACTACATTATTTTCGACTGGGTCATTTGGAAGTCCAGGAGAGATTATGTCTGACAGTGAAACTGGTGAATGTGTTCCATTATGTTCCTCCAGGCCTAAGAATTCAGATGCATCACTGACTACAACACTTAAGATTAAAGTGCAACCATCATTTTCTAGCCAGTTCAAAGTCCCACTGTCCTTATCCAGAGGTTGACCATTAGCAGTCGCCCGCATCTCCAACTGTGAAGTCGTGTTTAAAATATTTGGGGTATGATTGCTCTGATGTTCTATATTACTGTCAAGCAAGCCATATAAGACTGATGAGTCATTCATTCTGTTATTTTGCTGCAAATTATAGGAGACCTGTGATAGCAATGCAGAGTCTTTGTTTGAGACAGGAGACTGAGACTGACTGACATAAGATTTTGGCTGAGCATTCCTACTTTGATCCGAGTATTGTGTCCGACTTGGATTATTCATTGAAGGAAGCATTGATGGGAAAAATCCCACAGTACAAGAACTGTGTTTTTCTTTTACTGCAGTCATTATCTGGATCCTTGTAACTTTTTTAAAGTCCTGTATTGGAAATAAATAAAATCACATTAACATCATGTGTCATAAATCCTTTAAAATACTTTCAATGCTTTTAGTTTTGTGTTACATAACCAAATACTTTTTGATCTCTTGTCCCAAATGTTATAGAGTATTTACAAGAGCATATGAACTTACACACACTCCCATATGGAGTTATGGGCATTTGTGCAGACTGTGCAGCTCTGGTCTTGGGGGCCCAGTTGATACTTCATGTGGTTTGGGAGGTTCTTTGACCTTATCCCACTGTTACATAGCTGGTCACTTTAAGAGGAGGGATGCTTCATAGTTTCCTAATTGTTCTGATGGTTGGTAATACCCTAGTGATCTCAGGGATAGAACACTTCTGCCACTTCTTGCCCGACCAGCACCAAGAAATGGAAAATGATGTCTAACCCCAGCTGGATATTATGAACCATTGATAGAGTTCAGGTTTTTGTGCCGAATGCAAATTTGGAAAAATGTTCTTACATTTGGACATTTGGATGCATCCGAATTTCGAATGCAAACGAACCCACATTTTGCTGTAACAAAAATTTGGATGCACCCGAATGTCCAAATGCCATTCAGATTGTGGTTATTGGTTAAAATAATTTAAAAAAACAGCATGCACTCCCCCCTCCCAATCCATACCAGGCCCTTTAGGTCTTGTCGGAATTTTAAGAGGGTACTCATGCTCAGTGCCCCCTAAGAGTCCCCCCCTAAAATCCCTTGCTAGTACCTTAATCCGAGCAGTGGCCTGGCAGAGCAGGAGGGGGCGAGCCTGTACCCCCCCGCACCATACCAGGCCACTTGCCCCCCATGTTGATCAGGACAAGGCCTTCTTCCCCACAACCCTGGCCCAGTGGTTGTGGGGTGTCCGTAGGCAGGGAGGCTTATAGGAAACTGGGTGCTTCCTTTGATAAAGGGGCACCCAGATTAAAAAAAACAAAAAGTCCCTCGATGTCAATCCAGAATTATCCAGCGATTATCCAGCGATGTAAATCGTCCAATCCTGGAATCCTGACGTCCGCCGACTTATGAAAAAAACAATACCGCTTTCTCTCTCAGGTCTGCTCCTCTGCTGATTGACAAAAGGCAGTGCGCAGAACAATAGCCATCCTGTTATTGGCTATTTCCATTTGAAATGGCCAATAGAAGGATGACTATTGGATATTTCTCCTGCAGAGGAGCCGACCTGAGAGAAAGTTATCTTTCTGGTCTGCTCCCTGCTGACCTAAAAAACACAATTAAATTAGTTTTTTTATTAAAAAAAAGCACATCTGAATGTCCGAAATGGAAAAAACGAACAATATTCGGATCACGAGTGGATCTGAATATCAAGAAAACCAAAGAAAACAAAATCCGAAAGGACCAGAAACGAAACACATTTTTTGCCAGCTTACATATCTATCTATCTATCTATCTATCTATCTATCTATCTATCTATCTATCTATCTATCTATCGACAGTGAAACAGTGTTTGTACTTGAGCAGAAGTAGAATGGATGGCTCAAACATTGTTCTTGCACAGGTGACTTCATTCACCATTGTATAGAACAACTACACTGCGAGAAGAGTTATTTCTATTTAGTTGTCAGAAGTATAAATATATGAACAAAGGATATAAGCTGTTTTACTTTCTAAAACCCCCCAAAAATACCAGGGAAGGAAAATGAAGGCCAGAAACAAGTCAAATTAAAACTGAATAAGAAATCTTTAGCTAACGGATTATTAAAAAAAAGAATTGCTTTAATTATGTTTTACATGAAGCAATTGTGTTTCAAAATGTCAGTTTTTTTATTCATATAGTTTCCTTTTTATAGTTTGAAGTTTAAAGCTGATCTTCCTATGAAAAAGAAAAATGTAGCTCTGTAGAGTATGCTAAATGTGTTCTGAATGCAAAAAGACCAGTTCTACTAGTGTCCCGCCCAAAGAACACATTTGACCTGCAAAGGAATTTGCAATTATATTGTCAGCACGGGTCAATGTTCTGCAGAAGAAGGAGAATTGATTATTGCAAGTCACAGTTGTTTAGTGAGTATGACATGCTATTACAAACTGATGATAAAGAAAACGTTTTATTATTCTTTGATATTTCAGTTACATGGTTCTCTTTTACACTGGGAAGGATTTAGACCGGCATTTCTCAACCTTTTTTTCAGTCAATGTACCCTTTAAAGGTGTATCATATGGCATGCCAGTCTAAAATGTATATGATTTTAAGGGAGGATCCTATAAAAAAACGCAAAAAAGTGGTATTTCCCCCCTTCACATTGAAGTCCCCCCTTCAGATTACTAACCTTTGGCTTACACATCAGAATCCCCCATTTCACATCAAGTCCATCAGGAGCCCCCTTCACATCAGGAGCGAAAGACAGCCATTCAAAAGAAGGTCAGCAATGGCAGTCAATGTATTTATCAAACAGAACTTTTTTTAACCATCAGTGGAATTTTGTAGTGCATAGGGCACTATTTTCTCTAAAGATGTGAGATAATAGTGTACATATGTGACAGACTAAATGAGAGTTAGCCCCATAATGGTTACAAGGACAAATAGAGAGGGTAAATCTCCCCAGTGGAAACAGAAGTAAAACTCTAACTGAGAATCTAACCTTTCCCTACACTATCCAAAACTAAAAAAAAGATTTTTGGCCTTTAGTTACACTTTTATTTTCTTGCGCCTTATAACTGCCAATACAAGCATTTATATTTTTAATCAGAAAAGTGGAATACTTAGAGAAAATAATTACATTTAAACATACCATCTATGCAATTTCAGAACAAAAGTACAACCTTTCCTAATGTTTATAGAAACGCCATTGCTCTATCAAACACCCATAGAAGCATTTGAAATAAAGACTCATGTCACTATTCCCACTTTTCAGTGTTAGGCAAGTCTGAATCAGCTCTGTTGATGAATAGGACATTTCCCAAACAGGAAACACAGATAAATGGCTTCGTCATGAGCTCTTCTTTAATTAGCTGTTTTATAAGGGTAGTTTCAAAATTACTTACCAAAAGGTAAAATGCAGAAATGTTTTGTTTAAATATATATATATATGTTTTTAAATAAATATCAGGGTAGTATAATAAATACTTACTAAAGAGCTTGGTGTTTTTGCTTGGCGTCGGACATATTTACAGCTCATGTAAATCATGGCTATACCCAGCACGACAGCAAAAATGCCAATGAGACTGACTGTCAATGTGACCAAAGAATGATCTGTAAACGAAAAACAACATGAGTCATAGAAGCATAGGAGACAACGGACTGCACAATACATTTAGCTTCACCTGTTATTGTAATATGAACAGCAAACTCATTTTGAATGCTGCAAGGTAGGATTTTCCATACCAGGAACAATGGAGTCTACTCAAAAATAAAATAAGCATAGCTGCTTTTCATATGTTTTTACCTTTTACTTTATAATAATATTACCTTGGAATCTAATATAAAAAGGATGCTATAAACTGCCCAATAACCTATGGGAACAAATTAGCTACCATGATACCATACTAGGTGTGAGATTTCCCTGCATTTCCTGTCCCATAGCCACAACAGGAAGTCAGAGGGAATCTATAGTGAGGGAAATTCCCTCTTAAACAGCTGTCACTAGAACTAGAATGCACATTGGAAGATTTCCCCTCTAGTTCTGTTTTTGCAATTTGTGATTTTTTTCTCACTTTCACTCTGTGACATTGGTCACAGTCAAGTAGACAAAAAGAGATGGTAAATCTCCCTAATTGGGGCAAAGCGCTAAATACCTGACAGGTGCTTTAATCCCTCTCCACTCAATCCAAATCTGAAAATGTTTTTGGCTTTAGATATACGTTAGCTTTGTAAGTGAGTACACAAAAAGGCAGCCCAACTTAGTAATCTGTTTGCAATTGACTGCACAGGCAGCATGGCTTAGTATAACACTGAATGCCACTGGCATATGTTCTCAGATTGGAAATAGTCAGCAGTTTTACAAGTGTTAGCTTTGCAGACGAGTGCAGAACAAAACGTAGCCTGACAGAGTCATTTTCAGTTTTAAAAATGAATGAGCATTGTGGTAAATAGTAGTTTCAGACACAACTCCAGTTTTAGGTCACAATGTAAAATGTCAGTGTCAGCCTTGCTTGTAAATAGAAAAAAAAGCAGCCTGAGCTTGCAGTCTCTTCTATTAGCCAACTTGGCAAATGCACAGACACAGTGCAGACTAGTGTAAAGTTGGCCATACACTAACAATTTTTTTTTTAATTCAACGTGTAGGTGAACAAAAAAACCACAACATATACCTCCATAAACACTAAACAACGTGGATGGACAAATCTCCCACTATGGCTATTGTATTCTTAACAGTGGCTGCAGCTGACTGGCTGTAGTCACTGTTCTGCCAAAACTTTTTGCCCGGAAGAATTTCCTGTAAATCGGACCAAATTCTAACAGTGCATGGCCAGCTTTAGATTGAGATTGAATATTGCCTGCAGTTTTTAAAACATGGGATTGTACAACCCTATAAGACAACAACCCAAGAGAAACCAGCAGAGAGAGCAGACACCAATATGTAACTTTATTATTCTACTTCATTTATAGAAGTTAACCATTAGGGCCCCTTTCACATGGGCACTGTCCATTCCAATCAGCAGGGGATTCTCACATAAATCATCAGCTGATTGGAGTAGTATGGAACGGGTGTCACTCTTGTGACATTCATGTCCATTCAGTCACTTGTTGCTATTTTGTAGGTGTATAGGCAGCTGGATGTAAGCGACCATGTGTCAGATTGCATCCAATTAACTCTGATTCATCATGTTTAGGTAGAAAAAAACAAAGAACGACATAAACCTTCTCCATATTTTTTGGAAATAAACTTACTCTGAGGTAATCTGATGAAAAACGAAAACATGTCCATTTTCATCCACCTGCCCCGAAGGGTTAAATTGTTTTCCAATTATACTCGCCTGAAAAACTGACAGATCTGATTGGTCCTCCCATGTGAAAGAGGCCTAAAGGTGCCCATACACCTTACAATTATCTGCAGATTGTCTGTGGTCAGATGGAAAAAGTGCATCAGATTGGCCCAGGTGGAGATTACTCCATCCACACAGTTAAGTGTAGATGGAGGAATCTGTTGCACCTTTTCCATCTGACCACAGACAATCTGCAGATAATTGTAAGGTGTATGGCCAGCTTACGGATAAATCAGGAAAGAAAGTAGGGGTAGTTGTAGGGGGTGATAAATCCCATGGGGATACTTTACAGAGTATTTGCTCCAGAGCTGCCTCTTGAGTAGAAAGGGGGTTTAGAAAACCTTTATGCTATTGTCAGAATACATGATGCATTAGCCAATGACAAAATATTGAACATGACAGATTCTCAAAAGTTACACAGGAGTTATTGTTGGCATTATTTGTTCCAAATGTGACTTTGGTATCTATAGTTTGTGACTCCATTATTGATCAATATAGTTATACAGATTTATTACCTGGAAGAGTTTTCAACACAAAATCCTGAATGTCACTCTTCCGCTTATCTCCAATCATAATGTACACGCTTCCATTGTATTCGGTGTTGGGACTTAAGCCGAACACTTCAAACGTATTGTTTTTCTGAGGCTTTTGCCACTACAATAAAATAACACACTCAACTTATTATGGAATCACACATTTTCATAAAAAATGGAGAGAAGTTTACTGAAAGATAGGTTGATCAAGTAACATAACATCAAATGTCCTTTTAGTGTAATTGTTCTGTTGACTGTTTTCATTTATAAATGGGTACAAACCCACACTATATTTCCCCATAACGACTGCAAAGACACCTGAGAAACAAGAAGGGTCCATGATATACCAAAGGGAATGGGTAAACATGTGACATTCATTTCTGCTACCACTAAGTAGATGACAGGCAAACCATAGAAATCACCTCTTTAAAGTGGAAAACAGGATCAATTGAGTAATATGAATATGATTAATGAAAAGCTAATGCCACCCAACAAAATACCACAAAATAAAACAAAATAGGTTCTAACATTAATATATATATATATATATATATCCCAAGCAAAGTCTATATTTGCCTCAGTGAATGTACCAGGCTCTCATGAAGGCACTCATGTTCAAGCCCTGACCTTGAGTTCTACCCTTTCTTCCTTATAACTACTTGTCTACTTGTCTTTTCTTCTACATTTTCACCTTTGCAAACTATCTCAACCTGCTAAATTTCTCACAACCCAGTGTTTATAGTCCCACATCTCCCATATCTGATCAGCTCCATACCAGGTATTGATCACATAAAAATGGAAAGAAAATAACCAATGTACACTGTACCATACAGAAAGAGGTATACAATTGCTGCTTTGATCTTAGTGTCAGTGATGTGATGTAATCTATGATTACAGCTATCAAATTGTTCTAATCTGTTAATAGTGGTTGTATCCTTGTGTTTAAGATTTTGCTTAATTATTCTACGGTATTTTGTATAACCATATAGAATAAAATATTTTGTAAAGTGGATATAAAACATAGAAAGGATATTTCCTTGGATATTAACAAGATAGGTTTAAAACAATGACATCTGATAGTTATACAAACTCAGCTGAGCTATTTTAAGTTACTGTTCTATCCCACTGGTTACTTAAGAACATAGCAGGGAGGGTAAGGGTGGTGCATGTCAGTCCAAGATAGACTTGGAATAGAAGGTAGACTCTGATAAGAAGCTCATCACTGACTTGTCTAGCAAGGACCTAGTAGATGTGATATTTTTTACCATGCTTTGTGCACAAACCTATGCTGGTCTTTGCTCTTTGTAAAAGTAGTAACATGACTGACTTTGGTCAACTATGATGTTCACTTTTGCTCACTTATCTGTTTCCTTTGTTCCTATTTCGGTAAGAATTTATCATAGGTACTGTTGTTATTTTTTATTGTAGTTTATTGTTTATTTAGTGTATCATTGTGTATGCTAGAAATAATAACCATAGGTAGAGTTTTGGAAAGCATTCCATGTAACACATGTTGCCAAAACATATGAAAATAATGCTTATTAGTAAATCATTCACAGCTTACTTTGTCATGTTTCTCTGCATTAAAAATGCTTAGGTGGTATTCAAAACTTTGATCTCTGTAAAGGTCTTCCACAGTCATTGATTTGTTGTTCTTACTCCTCAAGGCCAACGTTGGAGTTGCAACATGGATTGTAACTGAACTTACATGTCCACTGTATTTAACTTTTGGCAAAATCAAGAAAGCTATAGAGAGAAAATAGAGAACAGTAAGTGACTAGCTATGTTATGTACTATGTTTATACATACAAAAATCTTATTAGTGGTCATGCTGTAGATTAGCTATATGTAAAAAGTGACCATGATGAAACTCTTCTGGGTTGCCTCCAAGCTATGTCAGTTGTGTTTATTAACCTACTTTTTTCAAGGTTTGTGTGAATATGACTACATTTCTTTAATTAGTTATGCATCTTATAGTTATATATTTTTTATTTTTTTTACTCTGCAGTGCTATTTTGAGAACATCTTCAAAGCATTTTTAGTAGTGCTTTATGATAGCAAATAATCAGTTTGTACTAGGCATTAGTGGCCTACCAATATAAAGCGATATACAGTATCCTCCATTATTATATAAAAATAATATTTGTTTTCCATAACCAGTTAAGGAAATGTGAATATAGCAGGTGAGTCTGGTTGCTTGTGCACTTGAGGGGATTAATCTATATTTGCACAAACATGTTTGCTTTTGCCCCCATTCACACCTAAACAATTTCTGATTTCATCAAACATGTTTAATTTATTAGTGAGCAATTATAGTTGGGGAAAGTGTGATTAGTGAACAGAATAGAAAAGTGAACAAAGCCTTTGTCAACACAAAGGTAGTATTACGATGTCATGGATGCAATTGCTACTTTTGATCCTGGGATGTGTCTAGCTGTGACTTAAAGAATATGTGCACTTTTAAACAAATTGCATTTTTTTTCTTTTTTGCCCCCCTGCCCTCCGACATTCCCCCCCTTCCCAGATGCAGTCTTACATTTATCCTTTGGTTGCAGCATACACCTCTATGAGTCCCTCTCCAGCCTTAAAGGAGTCTAAAGCCTCTGTTTTTTTTGCCTATATCTACTGCTAGCAAGCAGTAGATATAGGCAAAATGTTTTTAAAAAAACAAAAACGCTTTAACAGCGGTTTACACTTACCTCGTTATCGCTCACGAGACGAGAATCCGGAACTGCTTGTGCGGCCGCAAAGAATCTTGGGGCGGGCGCATGCACAGTTCGGATTCTCGGCCGGGAGACGAGCAGAGGCGCAAGGTAAGTCTATGGACGCGTGCACCCGCCTGCAGACACCACTGGATCAGAAGTGCCTGCAAGCAGAGAGGAGTCAGCGCTGGATTGGAGAGCCGCCACACCTCTGGAAGGACAGATGAAAACATCAGGAAAGAAGAGGAAGATCGGATTAAGAGACATAATTTAAGGTAACTGCTGACATTAACATGGGGGGAGGGAAAAAAATGTATCCTTTAATGTCACTTTAAGAGATGGCTCTATAGAAGTCTATGGGGATCTACTGAACAGACTAGTCAGCACAGAAAAGGTCTTGTCTAAAGTATAAAAAAAATTGGGGCAGGTCACAGCCACAGAATGTTGATAAGTATTCATGTGGGGAGTGTAGGGTACGTTTGGTCGGGGGCCACTTGAATTTATTACTTGAAGAGCATGAGGATCCTTGTTCATAGCATAACCAGATTACTCCACATACACAAGGACAATTCACTGATATCTTAATTACAAGTTCAGTTGAAACGTGGTAGCAGTCTGGGCCCCTACAAGCCTCTGTGACTTGGCAGCAGTTGCAAATCTTGCAATCACAATCATTCTGTTCATATGTAGAACAGAACAAAATTTGTAGGTTATTATCATGTCATTTATAAATATTCTATTTATTTTTATAAACTGTTCAGTTGCAGTATGAATAGGGGAATCAGGAGAAAATAAATAGAAATATTTGAAAACAATAGAAATAGAAAAATAATAGTACTCACTGTCATCATGTGGGTTTAGCCTATTGGACATAACCCAGTTAGAGGAACAATTTCTTATTGATGCACTGACTCTCCCAAAGTATTGATGTTCCATGAAGTCTTCTAAATCACTAGTGATTCCATTTGTTAAATCACAGTAGGTTTCAGGTATATTCTGACATTCATTAAATGTTGACCACCTGATCTGGCCATATCTTTTGAAAAAAAGAAAAATGAAAGCGTTAAGTTTTTTTTTTGGTGCCCATGATATCATGTATGCGCCGTAATTGCATTCCATGTTCAGCGAATAAGCAGTGGAGAGACTAACACTGCACTAGATTTTGCTGCTGCCATATGGTCCATGTGCAAGCATGTGCCCAAAACTGCTTACTGCATCTCCTCTCTTTTAAGGGCCTGATGCATTGCTCAAACATATATGAGGTAAGGTGGTCAGTACAGTGTTCTTTTAAGCACAGTATCCTGCCTATTTCTTATTTCTGCATGCACAATTGTGTACTGTGCTCTATTAGATTTGCTTAGATCAGGCAGCCTTCTCACTCACCAATGTAAGTATTGCCTGCTGGGCAGGGCCGTAACTACAGATCATAGGGCCCCATAGAAAAAATGCTATTATGAGGACCTCCCTGATGCCCTCTCTTTGAGCTGTGAGTATCGGTGCCAAGATCCCTCTACACTGTAGACTTTATATGGGATTAGCTTTATCATCAACTGAAACCATTCCAGCCCTTAATGATACAGTACTTATCTTCACATGTTCTATGTTTATTTTGCCTCAACAACCTAATTGGGCCCCCTTCCACACCCAGGCCCCATAGCAGCCACCTGGACTATGGCTATAGTTACGCCACTACTGTTCAGGGTTTTCCTGCAAACATCATTTACTTGCTGCAATGGTGAAGACTGACTAATATAATCAGGTAGGACGTAGTTGGGAAAGTTAGGCAGCTATGGGACCCTGTAGTGTGTTGGTGTGTTTAGGATCTTGACATCCACTGTCTGAATAAAATAACTGGTTATCTCTCCTTAGTAAGTAAGCAGTAATTCCTCCATAGCCCCTAACCCCATCTATAGTCAGGCTGTATATCATACATTCACCAAGTCACTGCTGGCCTCAGATTGAAAGCTACTTGCAATAGTTCATCATAGTCTGGTGACTGATCTACTAAGCACAGCCTGGCTACAGCAGCTGAAGAACAAGTCATCTTTGGCTTTTTTATACACTAGTAAATGTATTCCTTTTCTTTTAATGGCTATTAATGGTGCATGGTGATAAAATCCTTCCCAGACTTCCATTTCACACTCAAGAGTAGATGAAGGGAATTACAGCAGTAAACAGTGCAGTGCAATGATGTTGATGATGTGCAAATTTCAATACTTAAGAACTAGAAATCATGTTTTAGTTGACTTCACTAAGCTAAAATTGGATTGGTTGCTATAACTTACCACTTTCTTGCCACCATGTGCACTGTTCATAAAATAAGCCTGCAAGTACATTAAAACAAACTTGATCCGCAGGTAGCATTGCCTCCAAGATGTCACTTAACCCACCAAGCTGCTTAATAGCCTTCTAGGATGGGAACTGGTACATTTTAAGGAATGAGTCAATGAACGTAACAAAGAGTCACGAGGAAATACATAAATCAGAGAGAAATGAAGCTATTCATGTAGTAAACTTGTATGGGGAAATACATGTTGGAGACAAAAAAGGGGCACTGATTGTCAAAGATTGACATGAAGATCTGTGTATTTGTGTGAAGTGAAGTACTGCAGGTACAAAAGGCACGAGGCACTGCATTTGAAAGAGACACATGAAGCACTGGTGGTAATAAAGAGGTGTGAGCCTCTGCATTGTATACAGAGAGATGGGAGGAGCTGCCTGTTAAAAAAGACTCATATGGAACCACCTGACTGCTTTTAACATAGACGCTTCAGGGACTGCTGAAGTATTTTCAGAAGGAAGCCAGCAATAGCAACCCCCATATGTCTCTCAAAGATAGATTTACTTCAAATAATTTTTGCTTTTACGTTCACATTTTTACAAGCTTACTCTCATATATTTTTTATTGTATTCAGATGTATTGAATATAGAAATTTGCAGATTACCTAATGGAGGTGGCTTAGTACAATTAGTATGTTTCTCTTTTAACAATCATTGCAATAAGATATTGATCACACAGTGAGAGCATTATTTTCAATAAGTTGGCCGTTTATATCCTTCAATTATGAGAAAGAGCAGTAAAGTACAACCACTGGAAGCTGAACCTGGGTATGGTTTGATGAAATATGGCTGCTGTCATGTACACATACACTTATTTTTAAGATTGGTTACATCAAACTGATCTCTTGTACATGTTTTTGAAAGCAAAGAATTTCGTAATTAATTTTGATGTTTAAGTTGCATTGCATCTATGTCTCACAATCTTGTTTTTCTACATTTTACATTCTCTCCTATGTCGCAAGGAAGTAAAAAGGCCCCTAGGTCATACGCCTCAAAATACCAAATGGGAGAAGCAGTTCTGTTGGAGCCCAGTGTGTACTATCTCTACACCTGTGTGTCAAATCTTCCAGACTTATTTATTGGATTTAAAAAACATGTTTCTATGTATGGCTTTTTAAGTATACATGTACATGAGAGTGGCTATATTTGCTCAACAAATATGCAGGCTCTGCTCTCTGGTTTTTGCCACGCTAATCCTCTTATCAGACTGCCAGTGTACCAGAAAGGGTTATGTGATTGCATACTACAGACATGTGATCTGCAGACTCCAAGGATGTGAAACACCCACAATTCTTCTGGTAGCTACAGCTTATGTCATCATTGCATAGTCTTTACCTAGAGAAAGCTCATGACCAGATTTGTTCTATTTAAAGTATGAATAATTATAGTCTGTTTTCTATTGATACATGTGGAATGTTTTTTTAATGATATGTCCACTTTATAAATAAAAGTTATTTACACAGTGATTGCAGAAGATGGGATTTTGGGCCTACAATCTTAGAATCTGAGACACCTAAAACCTTTAATAGTCTAAAGATTTACTTACCACCTTGCCTACAACATACAGACATACAACAGGGAAATGTCCTGCCTGTGCATTGCATGCAAGAAACAAATCAATGCTATGTTAAAAGCACTGGCCGTGTACGCTGACTAACAAGGTTATTCACAAAAGGGTGAAGAGTTTGGAGACGGCAGGAGAAGTGAACAATCTAGGACAACATAGCTGAACTGGAAAGTGAGCTGAATTGAAGAATTTTTCCAAATCAGATATTTTCTCCTAGATTGTTCACTTCTCCTGCCTTCTCCAAACTCTTCACCCTTTTGTGGAAAGCCCTGTAAGTGTATTGTCTGCCCATGTGCTGTGACTGTGTGTGTAGCCTGTCTGTGTGCTGTGATAGAGTGTGCTATCTGTCAGTGTGCTCTGCACTTGAGCTGTGTTTGGGCTCACTGTTTGCTGTGAGCAGTAAATGGAACCAAAAGAGAACAAACACAGGTAAAGGATTAGTGCATGAGCCATGAAGATGTACAGCTGATTGTGTGCAGGAAGCTTTTAACACTGCTAAAAGGAAAAAGAATGAGCCCTTTTGCAAAGAGCATCTGGGAGTGAGCAGATAGACAGATGGAGCATGCTCACTTGGGTGTGTGAAAGTAGTATCTAGTGCTTGTCAGGGAACAGGCAGTGCTCTTTTCTTTTTATACTATGCAAGGTTAGGCATTACCTACTCAGGTACGTGATCAAACTTACCTCTTGTACTCGACACTAAACAATACATCTGATGGAAGATGGTCTTTGTTCCATTGCAGCACATATTCAAAATTTGTTGCATTAAAGGTCACATTGTGGTGCGTAAAGTTTAGACAGCTATGGCAGAGATTTACTGGGGAAAAAAATGTTTATATTAAAAATTATTTCATATATTTGCATTGCCAATACTGTATTTAAATCCTTCTACAGGTTCAGTCTGTCCAAAAATGACATATTTTAATTCTGGGAAGACTTACACTGGGCAAGATGCCTAGGCTATCTTTATGATTCTTAGTGTTAAGATATCCTACTAGAGTTTTTAGCTTTGACCCTCTCGTTATTGTTATTAGGAAGCCTGGTGATGAAATCTCATTTTTACTTTACGTTCTCCATAATTTATTGGGCTGCGTACCTTAGGCATGCTATGTATGACCCAAAGAAAACTTTAGCAAGGTATACAAGATGTACGCAGTGGCAGTATTGACAGCGGGGAGTTGCTCTCCAATATAGCAGCTGTTGCAGCCGCAGCTATATGAACATGGAGCTTATAAATGCTAAACAGGAGTTCAATAGAGAAATACAGTGTAACATTATTGTTACTTTGTGTTTCCTTTGTTTTATTCATAGCAGATCAAAGTAGGAACGTTTGAACTGCATGTTGTCAGTTATGTTATTTCTATTTGTTTATAAAATAAAATATTTACGCATTAATGTTTAAGCTTTCTTTGTTTGTTTTGTTTATCTTTAATATTTTTTATCGAAAAACAGCCTTTACTTCAAATGTAATTAACTTTGTACCAGAATCATGACTTTAGTGTCATTATGAATAGAACAAATTATGGAATACATTTATTTTATTTATTTCTTTATTTTAACTAGCAGAGATCAAAGTGGAGAAAAAAGCATGTTTAGTTTTTTTACGTCTCGTTGGCTTTTTGGCATAAAATATTTTTGTAAGACATATTCATCCAAAGGAAGCCTTGTGTGTTCCAAAAATGTTTTAAGTTATGAAAATGTCATCTTCAAATAAATAGGCAAATTTCAAATTTGCTCTGGTCCATTAAGATGATAGAGGTGCAAAAGATGAAATGGTTAAAATAACAATAATAAGATCCAACAGGGAATGTGAGGTACCTCAATAATATCCACAGTGGGTGGACACACCAGGGAAATGAATTGCACCTGGAGACCCAAAAAATATAAGATTAACTGATTAGTATCTACATGGAATTTCAGTTACCATTTTTTTTCTATTTTAGTACCACTGCTGTTGTCAACTTATTGCTAGATTCTTCATAGGGATGTACTCAGAATCAAGCAGGGATGAGTGCTATTGCTGTTCAGCACCCTTCCAGGCAGGTTGTGACAGCAACATTGACGGTAGTGGGACATCTTCCCAAGGTTTCACAGGCCTAGCTTTGTTTGGCTATTCTTTATTAAGGAATGGCAATAGTTGCATTAAATGATGTTACAATTTCAAGTGTTAGAAAAAGTAAACTTCATGTTTGTTGCAAGAATACGGTATGACCTGCTGAGCCATATTCAGTAACAAGGATATGAAGGTAAACAACATGTGGACCTCAAATATGTGTTATCAGCTTTACAAACTTTACCCATATCTGCTGTTACATTTAACATTCTTAGTGATTTTCATTGTTGAGCAATGCCTAAAAAATACATGTTAGGTAATGCAATTTCGAGACACAGCTCATTATTACTTGGAACCTGTCCTGGAAATTAAATTGCAGTTATACATGTAGTTCTACAGACAAATGCCTTTTGCTTTGTATTATTTCTCGAAAATAAATATAATATTTGAAATGCCATACAATTGTCTAAATACATTTTTCTTCTAATACCTTATTGCAAATAAAATAATAATAATAATAACAACAACAATAATAATAATCTTGCTTTAATGTACTGTGTGAAATCATGAGCCAACTTTAGTTCATACAGTAATATTTTCAGGCAGTAATTTATAATGAACCATAAAAGTTCAGACATAATATTGAAAATTATATGATTTCGAGCAGTGCTTAAATTGAGAAATATTGCCCATAATTAAATAATTGTAAACCTAAAATGAACATTCATAAAAGACATATACCACTATATTGCTATAAAGCAATACTGTTTTTTCCAATATAGATTTACAGATTACAGAAGCAGTAATTTCCTCTTGTGGTTGTCTTCTAAGTAATGGTATTTCTTTTCCTGTTTACTACCTTGTGCACGACTGCAAGAGTGGGTATTAAAGATCTTACCTGAAAGGAAGCTGAAAAATAGATAATAGAGTGACCTCTTCATCTATTACCAGAACTCATGAATAAGATCAATTCTATGATTGTCCAGGGTGAAGTATTCAGTGACATGAGCAGGCCTTTGGATGTCACAACACGGTGTCTTGTACTCTTAGACAGCCACACAGAAAGTGTGTAGAACACTCTGTTTGCAGTGTTTCTCAAGAGATGGGAGTTTCCTAGATCAAGGTGAAGGTTGCTCGATGACTAAAGGCAAAAATACTCTGAAGGTAGTGCCTGGTTCCAAACTTGTCTGATTACTTACTAGATGAAGAAAACACACTTTCATTTTGTGTCATCATATGCTATACAGCAGAGCTAGAAACATTTAAAGAAAATACAATGTTCAACATTGTCATCAAACCATCTGTGATCATTTCAGTATAGTTACTCTCATTCTGTCTACATATATTAGGATTATATCTACCAACATCTATGTAGAGTAAGGGTCTACATGACTGGATATACATTAAATGGATTGTATAAAGTGACGCTTTAGTCGCACTGGACACAGTAGTGACGTAGGGACCAGCAGGAGGAATCACAAAGCGCGATGGGGTACACAGGCATCTGACATTTTTGCTCTGCAACCGAATGAAGATTCTATAAAGTTAGAGTTTTCTTTTTCAGGAACTTTTTATTTTAAATTCTTTCCAGCAACAGGGTTGCTTTAACTCGTCCACTTCAATTTAAAAACCTTATGTAGATTCAGAAGACATTGTACAAGCAATTTGTAACTTGTGCGCAAGACATATTTTAAATAAGATCTCCAGGAAAGAAAATGTATTAACCCTTGCATTGGTGCTACCCTAGCACTGCAAGGATTAATTGATGGTTTGTGTCTAGTACTAAAAAAAAAGTTATACTCACCAGACCATCCGAGCTGACTTGCTCTTAGACCAGTGTCTAGAACGTCTCACCCCCTTCGGCTTGAGTGGTCTAGAATGTCTCACCCCCTCTGTTGCATCGGTCTAAGGATTCTGGTGTCAACACACTCTGAATAGACTGTGTATAGACATGAGGAAATATAGGATATATACACTGTGCATAGACTGTGTATAGACATGAGGACCCCAAAGAGCAGTCCATCTGTGCAGTGGAGGATGAGACACACTTCAGTGACCACAGAAACAGGGAGGCAGCTCGAATGATCTGGTGTGTATAACTTTTTGTTTTAGCACCTAGACAAAAACAAACACATAACCCTTGCAGTGCGGGGTAACCCCACTGCAAGAGTTAATACTTTTATTATTATACAGGATTTATATAGCGTCTACAGTTTGTGCAGCGCTTTACAAAATTACAGTACAGTTACAATACAATTTACAATACAATACAATTTCAGTACAATAGGGTTAGAAGGGCCCTTTTTTCCCTGGAGTTCTTCTTTAACTTTTAATTATGCTGCATAAATTCTTGGTTCATTGTTGCATTTGTCTAATTACTTTGGCCATTTGCACTGCCATTGTTTATTGTTGTTTGAAACTGTATAATATTAAAAAAAAATTTAAAAAAAGTTTTTTAATAGTTTATTGACATAATACATTTTTTACTACCATGTTAGGTATACGTTGCAGGCTTGCAGCATTCACTAAATTAGGTGATACATACCTAGACTGTTTCCTGGCAGGATCCCCTTTCAATCCAATGTGTGAGCAAGCAGAGAGCGGTGCTACGGTTCCGTTAAATGGGAATGTATAGTGTCAAGTAAGCCTGCACTTAATTTATGCATTGGTATTAGGGATTAGCTTAGGGTTTGGCACTGAAATGGGTTCAAGGCAAACCCAGGCTCTTTACAGTTCCTGGACACTGCAAATTAAAGTAGAACAGAATCCAAAACATATTTTTAGTTTTGGATAGATTAAGGGAGAGTTATAACTCCTGTCAGGTTTTTTTTGCCATCTGTGTCCTATTGAGGAGATTTCCTGTCACTTAGCCAAAACAGGAAGTGAGAGGAAATACCAGCAAAGAGAGGGAAATCCCTGGTGGTTAGCAGGGTTACCAGAACTAGTGTCCCCATTGGAAGATTTCCCATCTATTCTTCTTCTGATGACAACCCAAAATTTGGGATTTTCTTTCATTTGCAGTGATAACGGTCACCAGCACAAATAGAGAGGTTGAATCTCCATAACTAAGACACAGACAGCAATAAAACCTGACCTGTGCATCCTAAACAAAAAAAAAACAACAACTAGCTACAATGCACTCCCTGGCCTTTTAACCTGGGGCCAATAATGGGCACTTTTGTGTGTGCTAGTCCCCTTGCTATAAAAAGGTGGGTCCCTAACAGCCATTTGTTAGTGTGTTTTGGAGTAGTAGTATACAGCCAGAGCATGCCAAGGAGATAAGTTGAGTGGCTGACAAAGCCTTCTTCTTCTAATTCCCCTTTAGGAACAGAGTAGTCAGTTATGCTAAACGGCTGCTAATGTACCCTCTTATTTCTCTACCTCCTCTTTTACTAATCTTACCATAGCCCCTTGCATGGAGGAGTTGATGGAATTATTTTATCACATGAACAGTGTCCATGTCGTCGGACCACACTGTTAGGGTAGGGTCCATATGATGATGGACACATGGTCCAGCAAACATGGGTAGGGACGCTACATATCCTCATGGCACACTGGGTCAAGTTGCTGCCAACTAGAAGGAATGCAGGATGGGGCACACCACTGGAGCTGGTGGTGCTGCCCTGTGTCTTGTACGTTGGTGACAGTGCAACCACCTGTACTACCTCCTCACTGGCCTTATACTCCAACTACTCAAAACCAACAGTTTCCCACAAATGTCTCAGGGTAGGGAGAAGGTTCCCTTCTCATTATTACTATTAGGGATGCACCGATACCGGCATTAGGGTATTGAGTATGAGTACCGATATATTTTTTTCGGTACTTGCTGATACCGAATACCAATACCGGAAGTCTCATTCAGGAAGCCAAGTGGCGTGTAATGACTTGCCACGAGGCTTTCAGAATAGCAGGGACACCATCCCCATGCTTCTCGTCATTAGATGATGGGAAAGCATGGAGCTGGCTTCCTGATTGGCTGGGAAGCCGGCTCCATGCTCCCTCGTCATGAGGTGACGAGAGAGCATGAAGCCGGCTTCCCAGCAAATCAGAACGCCTGGCGTCGCGTCTTTACATGGCGCCGCCTTCCTGATTGGCCAGCTTTCTGACCAATCAGGAAGCCGGGCAGCGAGTCATTACACGCTTCCCGACTTCCTGATTGGCCAGGTGGCCGGATTCATGCTCCCTCATCACCTCATGACTTCCTGATACCGGCTTCCTGATACCGGAAGTATCAGGCTAGGCATCGGAGCATTTGCAAATACTCGGCATCGGAACCGATGCCAATACTAGCATCGGTATGGGTGCATCTCTAATTACTATTACATAAATGTATACAGTTCAAACAGCACTTTACAAAATAAAGGGAGACAGTGAAGTTACAAAAAGTTCAAGACAAGAGGGAGAGCCCTGCTTGTGAGAGCTTACAATCTAAAAGGGAGGGGCAAGTAATACAGATAGTAATAGCTGTGAGGGAATGTGTTTAGGCAGAGTCATCAGGAGCTTCTCTGAAGCCTAAAGGTGGACAGAGTAAGAGATAGCTGGACATATTGGGGTAGGGAGTTTCTAGAAGACGGCACTGAAGAAGTCCTGGAGGTGAGTCAAGGAGGTGATAAGGGAGCTAGAGAGCAGGAGGCCTTAGAAGTTGTTACAAGGGCATTCTGGGTGATATTTTGAGAACAGGCTGGAATTGTAGCTCGAGGCAGAGTTGTGGATGGCTTTGTATGTTGTTGTTAGTATTTTTAAATTGAATTGCTGTACAAAAAGCCAGTGAAGGGATTGGCAGAGAGGGGCAGCAGACACTAAACGGTTGGTGAGGTACATGAGTCTGGCTTCAGCATTCCTCTTGGGACCTGAGGTAGGCCAATGAGGGAAGAGTTGCAGTAGTCAAGGTAGAGGATAATAATGGAGGGAATTAGTAGCTTAGTGGTGCCATTAGATAAGAAGGGATGTATTTCAGAAGATGTTACAGAGGTCACCTAGCATGAGGGGAGAGGCTGATAGTTGTGCAATCAATCATGATGGAAAAGTAGGGTAGTGGGGGCACAGGGAAGGGGGGAGGAAAACTTTTTTTATCTCAGTTTTAGAAAAATTGAGATTTAGAAAGTTTTATGACCTCTATACTGATATGTCAGTTAGTAAATTAGTAATGAGCGAGAAGACAGAAGGGGTGCAGAGCAGAGAGATAGAGTTGGGTGTCTTCAGCATAGAGATGGTATTGAGAGACTAGGATTTGAATGCAGTGTCAGACATGTTATGTTGGGGAGATATCTTGGCAAAGGAGATTTCATCACAAATTGCATCTATTTTGTTTTTGAAATGATTGCCATTGTTCTGGGCAGTGAATGTGTTAGTTGGTGGAGGCTTTGAGGGACAGTGATGGAGCGGCAGGTCCGATCCCACTGTACTGTCATCCAATATGTGACCATAAGCAGTTTCAATCCCACTCTGCAATCACTAAGATGTGACGATGCCACTCTAAGCCTCACCCTGCACAGAGATTTTCCAGCTGTGGGAAAGTAATCTAAGGCCAGCAGACTGAGTCATTTGGGTTTAGTTAACTCTGCAGTTAACCCTTTACACAAAATAATAGCTGCCACCATGTGTTTTAACAGAAACACGGACTGTTCCCAGCAAATGCTGTGACAATGTAAAAACTCAAGCAATACCTATGATAACCCACTATCCCTTCAGACAGGTTTGAAAATAAGGTAGCACTTCCCAAAGACAAGGATACTTTAAGTTCTTATTTAGAGCATAGAGATAAGCTTAAGGATTTTAAAAGATAATTTTTAATAAACAAGACGGTGCAGAAAAAATATACAGAAAAAGATGTTACAAAAAAGAGACAAGCAATACATGCGATGCTCACTATCCATTCAGACAGGTGTTACAATATGGTAGTGCTCTTCACAGAGACAAGGATACTTTAAGTTCTTATTTAGGGCGTAGAGATAAGCTTAAGGATTTTAAAAGATCGTTTTTAATAAAAGAGACAGAAAAGTTCTGTATGTGACATGAAAGCTTCTTCTTGATGGTAAAAT